ATTTGTACTTCCTTGTTTTCTTACTTTATAATCAGTATTGATAGGGACTTGGTAATTTTATAAGTAAGTCTTTACTGATCCTTCTAGTACCTGTTAATTTTAAAATTTGATTGATTTCTGCTTATATTTCCATCATTTTCTTCCCCTTTCTTGAGTGGATGCTGTTTTATCTGTTCTGATTCTCAGTTTGGGTATTTACCTCATTCATATTTATAACTCGATTTTTTATTCTTTTTTAATAAAACAATTTGAAATTGTAAATTTCTAAAGAGACACTGTTTTAGTTGAATTATCACACATTTTAAAAATGTAGTAATTCAAAATGCAAAAATTTTGTTTGGTTCTGAATATTTTCTGACTTCCGTTATGATTCCTTCTTTAATCCAAGAGTTACCCGGGAAGAGTTATCTAGTTAGATTTCATCATTTTCAAACATATGTGTTTTTCCCTAGTTGTCACTTAAAAATGATTTCTAGCATAATTGCATTTCTATCACAAAAGGATTGATATCGTCTTGATTTGCTGATGACTTTCATTAGAGATGCTGAGTAGGAATCTGGCTCGGACTTCTCCATGCTTTCCTCTGCCCCAGGGTGGCCTGCAAAGGCTCTGTGGGGTCTGACCTTGGAGGCCACCAGGGCTGGGAAGGGCCTTACAGGCAGGACGTTGGGAAAGACCAGATAACCAGAGGACCAAGAGCAGCTACATTTACAGAGTCTCTGCTTGGCACCAAGGTCATGCCATCATTCTCTAAATAATGATGCAGTGCTCTAGGGCCCTTTATCTAAATGTTCCACAGGTAAAGACAGCAAAACCAACTGGCAGACTGTTGCTAAAGAATTCTAGTAAAGACAAGGGAAACCCCCACAAAGTCTGCATAAAAATGGCCCTGGTTTGTGACCAGATAGGGATCGTGGGTCACATATCAGCCTCACCGGTAACCAGAGAGATGGAAATTAAGATAGGCATAGTTGCCATTGCCAGGCCCAGGTGGAACGTGGACCTCAGTGAGCAGCAGGGGGCGCTAGTGAGGCGAAAGTCTCTCTCTTCCCAGGCAGCAGCAGCAAGCTTCAGGGAACCCAAATGTTCCCTTTCTCAGCCTCTTCTTGGACTCTGTTTTAGGAAACAATTAGAGATGTGGGCAGAGTTGTCCACACCGTGACTTAAGAGAGTGGCATTCAGAAGTACTGTAAATATCCAGCTTGAGGGCAACAAGGGGGTAAGTGGCAATCCGTGATGGACTTTGATGTCCTCATTGAAGTCACATGAGTGACCTCCCTACATGGTATGATTAATTATAAATGAAGTAAAGCAAAGAAACAAAACCATATATACAACATTTTGATTGTGTAACATACCTTCTCCCTAACCTCCAGGGTTAGTATTTATCTCAGCACATTTTAGTTGCAAATAATCTTTATTTTTGTATTAAGTCTAAATTTATGATTGTTTGCACTTAACTTGCTTTTGATAATTTGTGTTATCATAACAATAAAGCAATAAATGCCCCAGGCTTGTCCTTCCATTCCCTAAGTGTGAGGTTCCTGTGATTCAGATGGGCAAAGCAAATCAGCCTGGGGAAACCATGGGGGATACGGTATTGCTATGGCAGGGCCTGGACTTGGGGGGAGATAACTGGGTGACAGATATCCTTAGGCAGTGGCTGCTGGCTATGCCTGTGGCCTCTCAGGATGGACAGGGCACTGTGGAGCCCCATCCCTGACTACCAAATACCTGCACCTTCTCCTGTACATCTTCATCCTAAGCAGGAACTGCTAGGGTGGGCTGGGGGCCTAGAGAGTTTGTTTCCTGTGGGAGAGTGTGGGTGGGTGCTTGGGGAGGGAGGCCTGCCAAGAGACTCTAAACTCAGGCCCTGGGGGAGAGCAGGAGACACAGGTCCTGCCTTCCTAAGAGAGGGCTGTGTCATGTAGGCACTTAGACACTCAGCCTAGGCCAGTGCCTCCCTCCCAGGCATGAGTGCCTAGGACTGTATCTATGTTGAACGTGGACCTCTCCCTCCCCAGGAACCCCAAATATAGTAGTTTTTCTATTATTGTCTTATAAGCCCATGTGCTTCAGTTCTCTGCCCTGTGGAGCATTCATCCCAGAATCAGTAAGACCACACCTTTCTCTCCATGTGCATCTTTCTCTTCTCTTCCCCCCAACGTCAACTTACTCTAGGGAGAAATCTGAAACACTTGTGAGTCATATTCCAGGATAGTGAGCCAGGAGCCCCTTCCTGAGTCTGAGTCCAGGAGAGTTTTGAAGCAGGACTGCCTACAGGTCAGACGGAGGGTGATGTAGTCTTTTGCAACCTCTGTCATCTTTAGAGAACCCAGAGAAGCCTCTGAGGTAGGGTTTCCCTCTCTGTCACCTTGGGCTGCAGCATCCTCCTGGAGGATGCAGAGTGTGGGCTGACCAGGGTGTCCTTTCATACTCCTTTTCTGGGCTTGAGGGTTTGTACAAGGGCCGGAGGGTTTGTATTAAAGTTTGCACCTATGCAAAGACCGCTTTCCAAGTGCTGCTACATCTAGAGCCCAGCATGGAGTTGAGCCAGGATGGTTGTGTTCTTTTGGGAATTTTATGGAGCTTTTGATGAGGTCAGAAAGTGCTTCTAAGCCAGACACATCAGTTTTCATGTGCCGAGGCATGGTTTCTTAGAAACCCTATGTACCTCATACAGAGTGGCCTGTAGTAGAGCAGGTCACAGACAGGCATACAGGCCTGTGGCCATTTGATGGAAACCTGGAGGTTCAGGGGATGAGGCCTAAACAGCAGGACCAAGTGAGAATGTGGTGGCCTCCGCCCAGCTTACAGCACTGCCACTGACTCTGGGGGCTTGTGGACTGGAAGTCATACCTTGATGTCAGACATGGCAAGTACTTTTATAAGACATACCTGAGGATCCACAAATATCAGTGAACGTATCTAGGAAGGTCTTTTGTATTCATGAAAAGTATCAGAAAAAATTAAGAAGCATTCTCCATGGGCCAACCGGATTTCCAGGGCCTCCTGGGAGCCAGAGCAGAGTGTGCCCTCAACCCATTTGAGAGTGCTGTTTGTATTTTACCTCCTGCAAGCCATGGGGCAGTATTTTTACAGAATACATATTATAATCCCATGCTAGAGTGTTGGGACAATTTCATTTGTCATATATGATACTAAAGCCTTGTGTTCCATTTTTGTGATTTTTTTTGTCTCAGTCCAAGACTACTGTGGGCTGTGCTGGAAGGCCCCAGTCTAGGAGGTTTGTCCTAGTTTGGGGCCATCTTTCAGAAGAACCTCAGTTCAGAGAAAAACCCAGAACACCTGAAGTTCTGAACTCAGTGCTGACACTTAGCAAAAGGGGGCGTTGGGGAAGCGTGACAGTCAGAGCACTTCTTGAGGGGGTGGGACTGAGTGATGCTTCTCTGCCCATAGCACCCTTGCATGGGGGTTGGCTCCTTCAGCAGCACCTCAAGCCTCTTGCATCATCAAGCTGGAAGTAGTTGTGCCTGTCCCTTGCTATCTGTAGAGTGCACTAGATGTTGGACCAAGTACGGAATCCACCATTTTCCCTGCACATCACCAGAGAGCAACCCCCAGGAGGCGTGTGTGGAAGAATGTGCAAGCTGCTGTAGAGTCAGTGGTCACATCCAGAACTCCAGAGGCCAGGAAGCGAGATATTTTCACTCAGATGCTGGGTCTGGGTGGTACTGGGGAGACCACCAGCAGTGCTTGTTGAGGAGGAGGGAGAGCACAGCAGGCAGGGGCTCTGGGTACCTGGGCAGTGTTACCTGTAGGTAATGAAGCTGGGCCATGGGCTGCAGCGGGTCTCACCCGTCTCCCAGACAGTGGATGCCATGGCCAGTCTGCAAAGGGAGGCCACATGATAGCTAGGGCTGTCGGGGCCCTGGAGGCTTAGCGAACAAGGCCCAGCCATTAGCGTCAAGTAAGTGGTACTCACGTCAGAGGTCTGGACCTGCTAGTGTGGCCCCTTGCCCTCAGAGCCTGGATTGTCCCTGTGGAGTCACTGATGAGGGGAATGGGCTCCTTGGAGTGTGATGGAGGAGGCACAGCTAGGGTGACGTCTATAGATCTAGCCTGGGTGGGTTCCTTCCCAGGCCCCTTTGGATGCTTCTAGGGGTGCTGTGCTAAAAGGAGGACAGGGTTATTGCTTTTCAGTGCTTCTCACTCCTGAGGTTTACGGATACCCCCTGCTTCCCTCAGAGCAGCTCCCAAGGAGCCTCGGGGGGACTATGAAGCCAAAGTTTGGTTGTGGCAAAGCTTATGTGTGAGGAGAGAGACAAGAAGACTGTGGCACTGTTTTTTGGCCCAGTCTGGAGCCCCTGTGTGCTGGGGTAGGAAGGCCATGGAGAGGAGGGGACCATGCTGCAGATCAACCTGCTTCTCCAGATGCCTGCATGACAGCAGAAGCCATGGCCTGTACCCACCTGACTCATAAGGTTATACATTTGGCAGGGAGATAGGTATAAAAGGTATTCTGGAACATCAGTGGGTGAGAGTTTCCAGTTGAAGGATATCTAGGACAGTGGTGGTGAATCTTTGGTACACGTGCCACAGTAGGCACACAGAGACATCTATCTTGGCATAGTTTCCCCAGCAGCCATGCATCAGATAACAGTTGTTTTTTCTAAACTAAAACCCTAGTATTCATGTTTAATTGCAGGGTTGGCACTTTGCAGTAAATAAATGGTTTTGGGTTGCAGTTTGGTCACTCAGTCTTTGAAAGGTTTGCCATCACTGTCCTAGGGTATGTCCATGAAAATGGGGTGCTGTGGCTCAAAAGTTAAGTGTTTAGCTGATGGCTCTTAGCAAGGCAGAGCTAGGGAGCCTGGGTCCCAAGTTTCTGGACATCCAGTGGTGAGAGGTGGATGCCAGGAGCAAGTAACTATGCCCTGAAGCAAAACCTACAGAGAAGGTACCCCAGGAGCTTCCTTGCAACTGCCACTTCTGCCAGGCCCAAGGCCTTAAACACTTGCCTTTTGGTGCCTTTCCAGGGCGAGGGGCCATCCTTGAAGGTGGCCAGATGGTGGATCCCATCTCACCACTTGCCACTAGCCCCAGGAAGGACTTGGTGGCTGGGTCTCACAACTGGATGGCAGGATCCATTGCTACCTGGGCCAAGAAGAGAAAGTCCAACTTCTGCCTGCAGGAGACTGAAGTGCTAGTGTCCAAGGTCAGCAAGCACCACCAGCTGCTGTTTGGCACAGGACTGCTGAAGGCTGAGCCCATCTGCAGGTACGGTATGTGGAGCCACATTCTACAGGCTGTGAATGTGCTGGGTTACTGTTGCTTTGACATCATCGACTTGAAGCACAAGTGCTAGCACCTGCATGCTGTTGTGCAGCAAAAGCTGGGTGACCTCCAGAAGGCAGCGTCTGGCTCTGGCCCAGGCTCCAGCAAGCCACGGGCTCTGGCCCTTACGCCTATGGGGCAGACAGTGGCCAAGACCTTCTCTTGCCAGGCCCTGTACATTGAAGCCTTCAGCCTGGATCCTCCCTGAGATAAGTTCCTAGGCTGCTGCTTTGGCCTGCTGGAAGGTGGCCCTGCCTGGCCATACCACCTGTGTCTTCTTCAACAGCGACCTCTCCTATTCTACCTTCTTGTCCTCTTTATTACATACTGTTACTGTCTGGGATATTCTTATTCATTTTTCCTCTGCTCTACTCCCTCATTCATTCATCCATCTATTTGTTCATGATTTGCAAACATTTTTAAAGTCTTAAGAGCACTTCAAAAGTCGCCTGACTTCCTGCCCAGCTCTTGCCTGGACCCTCTCCCTAACCAAATCCCAGATCTGAGCTGAGTGTGCAAATGAGCATAGTTTTCATGGTCATCCAGTCACTGTGCTGGACCATGAGCATGGAGGGTAGTACATCTGAGCTGTAACCCAGTGTTGGCACATAGCTGAGGTACAAGCATGTCAAAGATGTGCTTGCCTACCTTAGTGGAGTTCTATGGGCTTTTACTTCTCTGTCTTTTCTGTCTTGTCTTGACCCACCCAATCCCTTCCTGCCCACCCCACCCCATCCCACCCCATCCTATCCTATCCATCAAAACTATTGTGACTTCTTAAGCTGGTTTCATGACCTGGTTTCAGATCATTGGTGCCAAATATATTCTTTGTATCTGTTTTTATTTTTTATTTTTTTTTAAGAGATAGTATGTCACTCACTGTGCTGCCCAGGCTGAGCAGAAACTCCTGGGCTCAGATGATCCTCCTGCTTTAGCCTCCCATGTAGCTGGGATTGTAGGGATGTGCCACCACACTTAGCTCTGCTACTGTTTTTCATACCCGGTAGAGAGATCAGACCTGTCAGATCCAGCCCTGCAAAGTGGGGTGGGAGCTGGGAGGAGGAAGGGTTTTCCCAGGTCACAATGGGCTTTTCCTGGAGCACTCTAAGGCTCAGGCAAAGCCCATTCCACAGAAAGTGTGGTGTTCCCAGGAGGTCAGTGCAAGCCTCATGTCCTGTGAGTAAGCATGGGGACCCAGGCAACTGGGGAGCTGTGGGGAGCTGGCGGGGAACAGATGTGGGCAGTCCCTGGGCTGTTGAAGCATGAGATGAGCTGCCTGAGGAAGGAGCCCCTGAGTGAGATCCCAGTGCAGAGGGATGAAGGCTCTGTTCTGTTGTGGAAGCTGCCCAGACATGACATTCCTTGGATTGGCCGGGCCCTAGAGCTCAGGACTGTGATTGGTTGACTGATGCTATCCTTGGGACATCCATTAGTGCTGTTCCCATGTCCAGGTATGTGTTCAGTGAGGACAAACGTGTCTTCTGCCACAGGAAGTGGCAAAACTAGCAGTGCCTGTAAGAGGTTCTAAGCAGGTGCTCAAGCCCCAGGGGCCAGAGGGTGGCTCTTGACAGTGCTCTGAGACAGGCTGCAGAAAACACGCAAAGAACTTGAGAACCAAGCGAAGCCAACACTGATGGTCCACTAGTGGGCATGTGCTCTGTCCCTTTCTCTGATGCCAGCACCTGCCTCATAGTGTCTTCTTCCTTACCCTGGGGAGTCATCTGGGCTGTTGTTATCTGCGATGCCCTTGGTGGGACATAGTGCCCTGGGAGCTAGCGTGTGCTGGAGGGTGTCATGGGGCCCTGGAATCTCTGAGGCTGAGGGCTAGGAGGCCACTTGAAGTTCAGACAGTGGGGTCTGTTATGCTTTGGATCTAAATTGGCCCCCAAAAGTCTCATGTTTGGACGATTACTGGGTTATGAGAGAGCTATCCTCATCAGTGGATTCATCCATTGATAGTTCAGTAGCTGAATGTGCTTTCGGCAGGTGGGTCTGATTGGAGCTGGGTCCCTGGGGTGTGACCTAGAAGGGTGTCTTCTTGTCCCTGGCCTCTACCTTCTGTGTCTGCTTTCTGGCCACCATAGGTTGATCACCTTTTGCTCTGCCAGGTGCCTCTGGCATCCTGTTCCTGCCTTGGAGCCAGCTGACCTTGGACTGAAACCATGAGCCAAAATAAACCTGTCCTCCTTCAAATTGTGGGCAGTGGGTATTTTGTCCCGGTGATGGGAAAGTGGCTAATACAGGGTTCTTGCTTGTGCCATGGAAAGGCCAAGGTTAAGAGGGCTTCGCTTACTCACTTGGCACAGAGAGAAGCCACTAGGCCTAGCCCTATCTTTCCCAGTGCTAGGCCTTTAGAGAGTGGCATAACCTTTTAACTTAATTTAATTTAATATAATTTAATTTAATTCAATGTCTTTATTAAGATAATATTCACATATCAAAACTCACTACTTTACCCATTTTACAGTGTGCAATGAGGTGGTTTCCAGTACATTCTGGGTGTTTTGTATCTGTCACCACCATCTCACCCCAGAACATCTTCATTACCTCAAAGGCAGCCCATGTCCTTTAACACTGAACCCCTTTCTCTGCCTCCAACTCCAGTGACCAGTGGTCTGCTTTTTGCTTCTGGCTTTGCCTGTCCTAGCCATTTCCATAAAGGGCACCTACACTATGTGCCTTTGTATCTGGTGTATAACTCTTGGAATTTAGCCTTCTCATTTACAAAATGGGTGTGCACCTCCCTCCAAGGCTGCTTTGGTCATTATGGAACATGGAATGTACTGCATCAATGCCCACACATGTACAGTAGGCCTGAAACAAATCTCCCCTTCTCTGCTATGGGTCCTGTGTACTGTATGGACTGTTTCTACAGTGTTGTGTACAAGTTGACCAATTGCTCTGATGGGGTGGAATGAAAAAGCACAGTGCACAGTTTGTCAGGGTTGTGGTACCTTGGTAACCTGATAGTTAGCTTGGGGCTTGTAGCTAGATAGCTAGCTGGTATCAGGATGGTGTTTGCTGTGGATTCCCTCTGTTGTGAGTTTATACTGTCATTTAACCACCATTTCTGGCCAGTGTGGTTGTGCTGAATCCCAGTCCAGACACTCAGAGGTCAAGGTAGCCTGGAAGGCACCCCCTCTGTAGGAGCAGTGTGATAGAGCAGAGCTCTTTTGGGAGGCTCTCCCTCACACTTGGCCTTGGGCTTGGAGGGTCATGGGCTGGGGACTTGAGCACCAGGAAGCCAGGCAGGATGGTGGTGGGAGGTGGAGGTGAGTACTGGGCTGGGAGCAGAGCACAGCGCTCCGTGTGTGCTTGTGATTCACCCATTGCCACCCTCATTTTGTTGAAGTTTGGTGCACAGTGCATAGTATCCATAAATGTTCTCATCAGTTCAGCGAGATTTGCCCAACAACAGACCCATATAACTCTTACCCCAGTGAAGGGAAAGACCACTTTGGTGGCCTCAGATGGTTCTTTTGTCCCTGCCTGGTCAACCACTTCCTCCCGTAATCTCCACTAATCTCCTTTGCCATTGTGTGTTTGATCTCTGCAGTTTTATGCTCCTGAATCATACAGCATGTATTCTTACATCTGATTTGGTTCTGGGCCCAGAGTGTATATGTGCTAGTACAGATATACCTCACTGTTGTGGTTTGGGGGTTATTTTGCAAGGTGAAACAATATAATACGAGACACATATTTTATAAGATGATTTATAATAGTCACCCAAAGAATCATATACAAGAGAGTGCAGAAAATCTGTACATATGCTGTAGACCAAGAATCCAGCTGAGGGCCTGGATCCCATGATAATGTCCTGCATGAGTCCAGCTGAATACCTGGATCCCATAACAATGGCCCCCATGAATCTAACTGGAGGCCCAGAGCCCATGACAATGTCTCACGCAAGCCTGTTTCATGGACCTGCACTGGGAAGGCCCAAGGTTTGGTGGTGGAATCTAGAAAGTCTGTGCCAGCAGGATGAAGGATCTGTGCTAGCAGGCTGAGGAGTTAGCACTGGAGCCAGGAAGCGACTCTCAAAGTAAGAACCAGAGCTCCTCTGAAAGGTACCATAGCCATCCTCAGCAACAGTGAGGTCCCAAGCTCATTTGATGATCAGGAAATCTGAGTTCCCATCAGGAAGCCAACGTGACAGGCTTCTTCAGGAGACTGAATTGTGCACCTTCTTCCCCTCCAGAGCCAGGAAGTGATGCTCAGAATGAGGACCAGAGTTCCTCCAAAGTGAACCCAAGCTATTCTCAGTATCAGCAAGGTCCTGAGCTCCTCAGAGGATGAAAACAGCCAAGTTCATCAGGAAAGCTAGCATGACAAGCACCTCCAAAGGAACCAACAGCTCCTTACAGCCTCTACTAGCTCCCAACAGCCTTTACTTTTCTTTTCCAATTCAGTATCTTATGCTGCTGGCAACAGTCCTCAGGTGGGCCTCTCTTACCCAGCACCATGCTTACTCAGTTCAGCTATGGGTTATAAGTTGACCACCAGTTATCAATCCACTACACTTGCTTAATGACTGGGATCCATTCCTGTGACTAGGTCATTAAATGAATTGTTCACTAAATAAGGAATTGTGTACAGTATAGTTAATATTCAGAATAAAAAAATGGACAAAGGAAACTTTAACTTGATGATTTTGCTTTTATTTATGTAACTCTTACATGAGATACTATGTGGTATAACAAAACATAAAACTGCAGTACTGTCAGCAAAAGTTATGGTACTGCAAAAATTACTTCTACTGTGCTGTAGAAGAAGCTACCATAAGGATGCACTGCCACTCACATTCTTGTGTAGTAAGTTTGATTGGCAGGTCATAAGTCCGAACAGTGTGCCTCGGTTGTGAATCTGAATAGTTGTTAAAGAGGTAAGTCATTAAATGAAATGTGCAATGGCAGGTACTTGTGAGTTTGTCACAGCTTGTG